AATGTTGGTTGATTGCTCCAGAAAAGTGGATGTTTGTCAGTATGTTGGGGGGGGAAATCAATGGGTGCTTAGGTATCAGTGTTATGAATGTAAGATAAATGGCTAACGTACACTGTGATTGCCTGTGTAATGACGGAGAGAGAAAGAAAGGCCTGAAAGAAAACTGGAGTCAGGAAATTGAGTAGAAGAGCAGAGAAAACTGTTGGAAGCATTTCTACAGAAGTGAAAATGCTTAAAAGCTATGTCTGGATGGAGGGGGAATCTTTGGAGGTGAATAAAGGTCTTTAAGGATGAATAAGATTTGTGTAAGCAGGGTAAACAATATTACATGATTCTAGTTGATTTGGATTTGTGTACTTTGGGAAGCCGTGCATAAGGGAGTTACAATAATCAAATGTTGTGATGAATAAGCATTTTGGTAGAGTAAATAATCAGAGTAATGTAAGATATGCTACAGAAATGAAAAGCAGACTTGTAGTTAAAATGATGTGAAAACTAGTAGTTAATTTGGGAATAGTGTATTTTCAAGATTACAGATAAGGATGGGTTAAAAAAAATCACAATTAAGATGAGTTATGTGCTGGCTAGAGCTCAAATTAAAGGCCTTTTCTTCTCAGGTATGAAAATTTTCAATTGCATTGTCACTTAGCACAAGAAAAGTAGTATGGGTGCTTCTATGCTTTCCCTTCATCAGTTTTAGATGAAAATGCTTTTCATATTATTGCATATTTTATTGTTCTCATTTTACATTTATACTTACAAAGAAATTCATTGACAGGTGATTAGTGGCAATGATTCTCCAGCCTTACATCTCTCGATGTTTTATTTAAACAGAAAAAGATTTCATGGCCTGGTGTCCCTGTCCCCTCTTTAGAGTTACTGCAAAGAAAAAAAAACGGTTCACAAATATCTGAAATATATTTGCATTTGCTTTTGGAAATACTGGAGCTGCTTGGGAATTTTTCAGGTTACAAAAGTTTTGATAGAAACTGTTGAAACCTGTTGAACCTGAAATCTCTCCTCTATCAAGAACAGTTTAAAGAAACTTCCTTTAGGATGCTTTCATTCCAAGTACTAGCTATTTTATTTAAAATGGAACTGCGCAGCAAGAAACCTTGAGAGAAATCTGCATTACAATACCCAGAGCCTAATAGTTAGGGCATTATCCTTTAAGACATGCAACTTTGATTCAATTTCCTTCTCTGAATCCAGCTGAATAGAGACTTAAACCCGGCTGAATATCTAATGCATCCAAGGCAACTGTCATTACCACTGGACTGTCTGTAATATGTAGGGTATCTCTGCTTTTGTGGAAATTGTGAAAGGATTTGTCCTAATACTAACAAGACCTTTCTGAAATCTCCAAAATACTTATAGGCTAGAAAAAAAACCACTTGTGCCCAGCTTTTATCATAACCCCCAGGCTGTAAAGAAATGCCTGTAATAATCATTATTTTGTATATTCATACCAGGCCACATTTATTAATTTGGACCCTAAACTGAATCTCAGTCTCAGTCTCCGTATAGAGCTGACTTTCCATGCCTCTGGTTATGCTTGTCAGCTGTCTCAGATTTTTCTGCTTTTCTTATATCCACGTTTGTAATGGTTCAGCTAAATCTGTCTAGCAGTAGCACTTGGGGCACAACAGTAGTGTACTCAATGGCATTTTTCTATATGGCTTTGTGTCCCTCTATTTTTGCACCTTATACTCGATTATGACCCGGTGAACGCAGTGGCGATCATGCTTCTAGTTAAAGCATGTACCTACTGAAAAAAAAAAAAGTCTGAACACTGTCATAAGCAGTTCGATTGTGTTTTGGACCTTGTTTTGGAATATGCAATTGGTGAT